CCGGGCCGGCATCCACCGCCCCTTGTCGCGCGCAGGTGGCTGCGGCAGCACGAGCGGGTGGAGCGGCTGAACATGCAGGCGGTGCTGAGCGCCAGCGCGGGCCGGGACCAGCTGCTCGCCGAGGTCCTCAGCAGCCGCGCCAAGGTGAGCGGCCGGGCCCGGCCCCGGTCCCTGCGGCCTCCTGCCCGCGGCGTTGCTGGGGCTGTCCCGGAGCGCCCCGGGCCCGGCCGGGTGGGGCTGCGGCGCGGGGACAGCCTGGCCTGGCCTGCCTGCCTGGGGGGCGAGGGCGGCCCACCTCCGCCTGGGCCGAGTCACCCGTGTAGCTGGAGGCTGAGGCTGGGCCCAGTGTTTGTAGAAAGACCAGCTGCAAGGCTTGAGGTGATGGAGAATCCACCTGCCCGGGGACGTTCTACTGGTTCAAGTTACTGCTGGCCTTCACTAAACCGTGCCTTGGGTCTTGCTGCTGTTGGTTAGGGGATCCTAGAGAACCAGGGCTGGAAGGGACTGTGCCTAGTGCTCAGCTGGGCAGGTGAGGGGGGAGGGTTGGGGCTGGGTTCAGGGTTGTGGGGCTGTGATCCACCCCTGCTGGTCCCTCAGGCAGGCATGTGGCAGGAGTGGTTCATGGCTCTGCCACGGCCCCATGCTGCCACCACCCAGCAATCCCGGGGTCTTCATGGAGACCAACCCAGGACCCATGTGGGCGGGGCACACTCAGCCAGGTGGGTGGGATGGGACTGCGGGTGTGCAGGGAGTACAGGGCCATGACAACTGCAATCTGCTCCCCCCTACACACCTGTCCGTGGAGCCAGCACCTGTCACAGAGATGTGCAAGCAGTGGATCATGGCTCAGTCCCAGGCCCCAGCCCTACACTGTCACTGCTGCACAATCCCAGCCTCATTCCTGGCCCTGGCCTGGCAGCTGTCCATCCATCACACTCCTGGATGTTGCTTCCTACCTGCCGGGGCCCCATCCCATCCACCAGTTAGAGCACATCCTGCCTCCTGCCTTCATGAAGACCTCGCCTACCTGTTGCATATGGCACTCCCAGCAATGGGTGGGGCAGACAGGCCAGTTTGCATGGGCAACAGGGCTGGGGCTGGAAGCAGCCACAGCTGGAAGGATTTATCACTGCAGGTATGGCTGGGAAATGAGTGTAGCCATTATGCCACCCCAGCCCTACTGTGTGCCCAGGGGTAATGTGGTTGGCTGTGCACACCACAGCCCAGGCTGTCACCTGTACCTGCATCAGGCAGGGCTGAGGGACCCACTGTGGGTGGATAAAATCCCTTGGTGGGTTGAATCCAGTCCGTGGGCTGTATGTTGCCCACCCCTGATCTAGTCTAAACTACTGCCTAAAACAGGATTGTCCCTATACCAACCCTCCTATACTAATCTGTAATCTAATCTCTTAGTAAAACTACAGGCAACCCCCACTTGGCGCTCTTAATTGGTTCCTGAAAAACCAAGTGCTAAGCAAAACTGCACTAAGTGAAATCCGTTTGCCCATGGGAATGAATGTGAATATAGGTAACTGGTTATCACTGCTTCTTGCCACTGCCACCTCTCCCCATTAGCCTGTTGGCCGTTCCAGTCATACATGTCAGCCGGGGTCTGCGCTGTTTCTGCTCTGCCCTGGGCCCCCACCGGCTCTGACCTCGGGCACCGGCGTAACACAGGCCCTGTGCTGATCCCCGTTCCCCCCACTCATTGCTTCTCACTGCTGCCATTAGCAAGGGACATGAAGGGTAACAAGAAGGGTTTCTACAAGTATGTCAGTAGCAAGAGGAGGATCAGGCAAAGTATGGGTCCATTACTGAATGGGGAAGGAAACCTAGTGATAGAGGCAGAAAAGGCTGAAGTACTCAATACTGTTTTCACTTCTGTCTTTACAGGCAAGGTCAGCTCTCAGACTACTGCACTGGGCAGTATAGTTTGGGGAGAACATTAGCAGCCAACTATAGCAAAAGAACAGGTTAGGGACTATTTAGAAAGGCTGGGGCTGGGGCCAGATGAGATGCACCTGAAGATGCTGAGGGAGTTGACTGATGTGATTGCAGAGCCACTGGCCATAATCTTGGAAAACTCAAACCAATCAGGAGAGGTCCCAGATGATTGGAAAAGACAAATATAGTGGCCATCTTTAGGAAAGGAAAGAAGGAGGATCCAGGGAACTACAGCATTGGTACAGGCTGGGAGCTCTCTGGCTGGGCAACAGCTCTGCAGAAAAGGACCTGGGGTTTACAGTGGACAATAAGCCGAGTATGAGCCAACGGCGTGTCCTTGTTGCCAGGAAGGCTAATGGCCTACTGGACTGCATCAGTAGGAGCATTGCCAGCACAACAAGGGATCAAGAGAAGTGATTCTTCCCCTCTGTTCAGCACTGGTGAGGCCACATCTGGAATACTGTGTCCAGTTTTGGGCTCCCTGCTACAGAAAGGATGTGGACAAATTGGAGAGAGTCCAGCATGTATATCAACAAAAATGGTCAGAGGACTGGGGCACATGATTATGAGAAGAGGTGGAGGGAACTGGGGTTATTTAGTCTAGAGAAGAGAAGACTGAGGAGGGATTTAATAATAGTCTTCAACTACCTGCAGGGTGGTTCCAAAGAGGATAGAGCTAGACTGTTCTCAGTGGTGGCAGATGACAGAACAAGGAGCAATGGTCTCAAGTTGCAACAAGAGAAGTTTAGGTTAGACATTGGGAAGAATTTTCTCACTATGAGGACAGTAAAACACTAGAACAGGTTACCTGGAGAGGTGGTGGAAGCTCCATCCTTGGAAGTTTTTAAGATCTGGCTAGACAATGCCTTGGCTGAGATGTTCTAGTTGGGGCTGGTCCTGCTTTGAGGTCCTGAGGTCCCTTCCAACCCTCGTTTTCTGTGATTCTATATAATGCTCTAACCTACCACAGGTAAAGCAGGAGGACTGTGGCAGCCAACATCCTGTTTCTTTAAAAGCTTGTTAATATACCCAGTACACCTAAATTAGTTACATCTGTTTTTCTCTTCTAGTCATTGTTGTGATTTGAAAATCATAGTTGTTGCTCTTTCCAGAAATCCCTCCCAATTTTCTACATTTAAGGGTGTGAAGGCCTCAGAATGGAACAAGAAGGGGTTGCCACCTGGTTGCAAACACATTCAGTCTCTCTCTTATGATTGTGGCCACATTCAACCCAGCTGTAACTCTGAAGTCAGTGGAGTTTATCTTAGGGATAAATGTGGTCCCTTTTGAAATGTTGCTGGACTGGAAAATAGACTCAGCAGATCACTCTGTCTTCCCCCATACCTTTATCCCCATCTACCCGCTCCTGATGCATAGTCTCACAATGAGAGGAGGGGGATGCAGAGGTATTAGTCTCAGAACCGACAGTTTGTGAGATAAGGCCAATGCTGTGTTGATGATCATAATGGTGTCTAGGTTTAACACTAGTAGTGCAGCAAAACTGACAATTGGGATACAACTGCCAGCTGCAGTATATGCTAGCATCTTCTTCTCCTAAGACTGAAACACACTTGTGGCAATTTAACCTTTTTGGTGAGGTTTCACCTGCCTGGACCATGCACTGAATCTGAAAGATCTCTTTCCACTGTCTACTTCCCTGTCCAGATCCCTGTCCTTATTGAAGAATTGATCTCTGTGGAGATTTGGAAGCACAAAGTCTTCCCTGTTTTGTGCCGGCTTAAGGATTTCAAACCAAAAAGCACCTTTCCCATCTACTTAGTGGTGAGTACAATGAGGGCTTTGAAGAACAGGATTCAGTACTGGAGGCTCTTCCCCAGCTAGCCTGCATTCCACTAGGATAAGCATTGAGACTTTTCTTGCAGTAAATGCTTGTGTAATATAAAACAGTTATTGTCCTGGAGAAGGAAAAGAGATTTTAGTCAGTGGCTTAATGATAACTTGGCCTTCTTTACAAGAATCCCAAACAACTTTACACAAAGATCACTTCCCCTACCCATAAAGTGCATCCATCTTTGGGGTGGAACGTTGCAGCTGCTTTACATAATGTTGCAGCATCCTGATAGTTTAGGATAGTGGCTCTCAACCTTTTTAGACTTAAGGCACCCCTTAATAGGCTCAAAGTGGCCCTTCATAATTTTTGTGAATGGAGCACACCTCATTTCAAAAACTAACATTTATTACAATGCTTACCTCTTTGCAGACTGGCCAGGTAGTGTGAACAAGGGAATGGCTAAGCATCGACTGAGCCTGAGGTCTGCACTTACCTCCTTTTAGCCTCACACTTGGCTTATCTGCTTACACCTCATGGCACCCTTCAAAGGGTCTTGCAGCACTCCTGTGTGTCCCAGCACCCTGGTTGAGAATCACTGGCTTAGAATAATAAAAGAGGCAGCGTCTCCATTGAAAATTCAACTGGATACAGACATTGGAGTATAATTAGAAAGCTTGGCATTTGCCCAGAATGTGGGCCATCACCACAGTCCTACTGTTTTTAGAAAAAAGAAGCCACAGAATTCTGAATGACCCAAAGTTGAGAGGGTTGTGATTTATACATTTCATTCAAGCACTGGACATGCACAGTACACTGAACATCTTGCTTCCAAATGTAATAGTAACAGTTTTTTCTGCATTGAATTTCTGTGTTCTTTAGTTAGTGCAGCCCACAGGCTTCTGGACAGGACTCTCAGCTATTTGCACTCCATTTGCACATGGAAGAAGGGCAATCACAGTTCTCTGGGATTTTACTAAATTCTGCTGGGATCTTGTGTGTCCTATAAGCCAGTGATTCTCAACCTTTTTTGTACCAGGACCCATTTGTAAACATCCATGGTCAGTCCTGAGCCAGTGCCCCTCACTTCTGACTAACGGCCCCAGAACCCAACTCTCCAGTGTGTGGGGTGGGGGGAGGATGTGTGGGGCAGGGGATGGTCTAAGCAGCCCCTTGCAGGCTGGAACTCTGCCAGCTTGCAAGGGAAAAGTCAGTTTCCCACATTTTTCTCCTTTAAAGGAGTATCCATTTTTAAGGTTTGTTGATCCATTTTTAAAGTTTGTCTGCAACCTTTCATATATTCTTGTGACCCACTTTTGAGTTGCAACCCACAAGTTGCTATAAGCTCTATAGATATCTCCATTTGCTAACCCTGAATCAGGAGGTGCTCTCCATCTGTAACAATGATAGGAAGCTACAGATTGTGGAAACAGAAATGCTAATGAGCCATCTAATTCTCTACTCCACTTCTGGTGGCTGTTTCAAAGAAAGATATAATCACCACTGTCATGTTGTGGATTCAGTGCAATGAAGCTGGAGCTACTTTTAACAAAGACATGTCTTTATTAGCACCCAGACACACATGGCCATCAGGATCTCTGCTAAGTGTAACAGTAATGCCATGGAGGGGAGCTGAATGACAGCCTAACCCTTCAAGGTATATAATAGTCACAACTACCACCAATAGCAATGCTAATTCATAACTTCATATCTTAAAAGCAATCTTATAAGCTACTACTACTGCCTTTGTGCTTCCTGAATCATCTTCACAACTTCTACCATCTGAGTGATCTTTTGGGTTAAACCAGGAAGGGGCAAAATACGGCCCACGGCCAAATCTTGCCTGCCAGGCAACACCATCTGACCCGTTGGTGCCCACCACTTAATTGTACCCCAGCCAGTCTGCACCTTGCTTTCACCCTGGTGCACAGAAGTGCCCAGGTCAGCCAGTGCACAAGCTTCCAGGCAGAGCTGCTGCTGCCATTGCTGCAGCTGTTGGGGGACCTGCTTGGCTTTCCCAGTGTCCAGCAGCTCCTTCTTGTCTCCCTGCTGAAGTGCTCACTCCAGGCAGCAGGCAGGGAAGCGGCGGGGGTTGAAGGAGCTGTAACGGGGGCGGGAAGCTGGGGCTGGTGGGAGCACAGAGCCCATGCCTGGGGGGTGGCAGGAGCACAGAGGTTGGGTGGGCAGGGTGTGGGTGTAAGAAAAGGTGGGGGTTGTGGGGACCCCCCACACTCTCCTCCCCTTGGGGTACATCACCCACTGCTACTGGCAGCAGTAGCAGCAGGTGGGAGTGCTCAGGGAACTTGTATCCTGCACAGGCACTGCTGCCCAGTGGTGTATGGCTCTGGCTAGAGCTACATGTGGCAACAAGCCAAGTCAGTTTGCCTCTGTTGTGCGGGGCTCCCCACCACAGATGTGCATCTACTGGCACTCGTGCACCAGTGGGGGAAGTCCAGTGTGACAGAGCCGGCTACCTTCCCCACCATGTGCAGCTGCTGTGACTCCGCCAGAAGTTTGGGGAGCCATGCCCCCTGCTTCCATGATGGCAGCTGGTTGCAGAACGCAGGGCTTCTCGCGGTGGCGCACAAGTGCCAGGAGATGCATGTGCATGGTGGGGAGCACTGTGCAATAGAGGTGGGCCGGCCTGGCTGCACTCTTTGCCACGATGTGCAGCTCTGGCTGGAGCTGCTGCTGCCAGGTGGCAGTGCCCCAGGGGCCCCCGTCTGCTGCTGCTGCCACCAGCAGCAGGAGCTGTGCGCCCTGGAGGGAAGTGTGTGTGGGGGATTCCAACACCCCCAACCCTCCCTCATACCCCATAAGCCCCACACACCCACACCCTGCCCCCACAACCCCCCACATACACACACACCCTGCAACATACCCTACACCCCCAACACACACAGCCACACCGCCTCACAAACCCAACGTGCACACACTCCACTATACAGACACCTCCACCCCAACCACACTCCACACACTCCCCCCACACAAATACAAGAGTAGGACTTTATTTTTGACCCATTATGCAGTCACTTTTATATGCACTACACAAACACAAATCATGACAAAAAATATTTTTTGTAGGAAAATTAAAATATGTTGTAGTAAATGTTTGACTTTTAGTACAGGTTTCCCTCACTTTATGTGGGTTCTGTATGTGCAAATTTGCTCTTATGTGATAACTCTTTCATACCAAAAATTCATTATATGCGAGGTAAATTCACACTTATGTGAACAGTGTGGTGGAAGCCCTCAGTCATCTGCTTTGTGTGGTGCATTGCGGCAGTGACACACACCAAAATATAGTCTCTGGCATGGATCTGTGCTTCTCACTCGTTGTCTGTGACACGTGTTTCTGTAGTTGCCATCCCCATTATGGTGACATTGACCGCCACCCTGTGCTTGTGTGTACTGTCTGCTGTTTGTGAGTACCAAAATTGTCTTGTAAAAGTGGTAGAAATGGGTCTGGGGGTCAGTACAGGCAAGGTCTTAGAACGTATCCCTATTTATTACATTGTAAAGTGGGTTCCCTGTATGTGAATTTAAGTTATGTGGTATTTTCCAGGAATGCATGTACAGCATAAGTGAGGAAAACCTGTATAGGATTTGGGTTTTTTCTGGTTCAGATGACAATTCCCCTTCACCCCCTCCACCCCCCCAAAAAAGGAGTACTCTGGGGGCAAGGGGAGGGACTTCTGGTGGCAAAAATCAGGGGTTAGGGACAGGACTTCCAGTCCCAGGATGGCAACTAGGGGGCAGGGCTGCCCTTGCACCACTCAACAGCTCACAAAAACTCATTAAGCAGCCCTCCAGTTGAAATAACTGTCAACCCTGGTTCAGTTTTTGTGGGCCCTTTGGCAGTGGGACTGATACCAGCATCAGCAGCTGGGGACACTGCAATATCTCAGAGCACTACCTAAAATCAGCCAGTGAGATTTTCTTTGATTAAATCAGCAATGTACTCCAGTAAAAGGGCCACATTAGCAGCCTGCCAGGAACCTGAAGGCTGCAATTAATTTTCATGATAAATTTACAGCTTACAGTTGCACTGAACATTGTTAATAGAGATGCAGTTCAGAAAGACCCTAATTTCCAGCATGCAGTGCTTCATCTTGACCATAACCACTTGTGCTCAGATCGTGAGGAAATGTTGCTTGCTGGGACTGTAGTTTACAAAGCCTGCACATATGCATTAAAATTGAATCCATCTAATCAGTTGCATTTGACTGATAAGCCTGGATCTTGCACATGTTTGTATTAGAAACCATCTCCATGATATGCCAATTTTCACGTACACCATAGTTGATGATGATAACCTTAGTGTCTCTGTTTACCTGACCTGTGCTATTTAATTTTTCTATGTTACCTCAGCTACATCATGAAGCTTCCATTATCAACCTGCTGGAGACAGTGTTTTTTCACAAGGTAAGAGGCAAGTTCAGGTGCATTTAAGCAAGAGCCCCAGAATAGGAAAAATATAAGATGTAGTTTTGGGTCACTGCAAATGAACTGTAGCAATTATTTTGATGCAAACCATCACCATAAAAAGTGCAATTCAGATGGCTATTTGGATAGCAAGTAGATCACAAGTGTGAGTTTCAGATCCACCTGAGTTTTAATTATGGTGTAGGATAAAACCTAAAACTCCATATTTTGGAGAGTATGGAAACAGAGGTAAGGTGACTCACAACTTTAACTCTTCTCCATACTTATCTCCGATGTTGAGTCCAAAATCATAATAAGGGATGTCCCAAACCAGCCCACATGACACTGAGGTCTGCAATGGACTGGTGCACCCAACGAGGATCAAAGGGAGCAGGAGAGCACACAAGCCTCCATGGCTCACCAAAAGCATCCAGGAATGTCTCCTTGCTAAAAAGGAGGCTTACACCCAATGGAAAGAAGGGGTCATCACCAGGGAGGGCTATTCTGCAGTTGCTCGGGGATATAGGGGGGTAGTTAGGAAGGCCAAGGCAGAGATGGAACTGGGACTAGCTTCCCAGATTAAGGACAATAAGAAGTCCTTTCTTAAATACATAGGGGGTAAGAAGAAGGTCCC